ATGTTGATTTTACTACAGTTGCCTTGTAGTATAACTTCAAGTCAGGGATTGTGATGCCTCCTGCTTTGTCTTTCCTGCTTAGAATTGCCTTTGTATTCTAGGTCTCTTCTGGTTCCAGATGAAATTTAGGAGTGATTTCTCTAGATCTATAAGGTATGTTGACGGTATTTTTATTGGGATTGCATTGAATCTGTATAACAGTTTTGGGAGAATGGCCATTTTCACAATGTTTGTTCTTCCTATCCATGAGCAAGGGATGTCTTTCCATTTTCTGAGATCATCTTCAATTTCTTTTTTCAGTGTATTATAATTTTCACGGTATAAGTCTTTCACTTCTTTCGTAAGAGTAATTCCTAAATATTTCATTTTTTGCTTGCTAATGTGAAGAGTGTAGTTTCTCTTATTTCCCTCTCTGTGATTTTGTTGTTCATGTATAGGAATGCTATTGATTTCTGAGTATTGATTTTGTATCCAGCCACATTACTGAATTTATTTATTGTATCCAAGAGTCTTTCAATGGAGTTTAGGGGGTCTTCTATGTAGAGTATCATGTCATCTGCAAACAGTGGTAATTTGACTTCTTCTTTTCCTATCTTTACCCCTTTTATTTCTCTCTCTTGTCTAATTGCTCTGGCTAGTACTTCCAGTACTATATTAAATAGGAGTAGTGATAAAGGGCATCCTTGTCTGGTGCCTGATTTTAAAGTAAAGGCTTTCAATTTTTGGCCATTTAGTATGATGCTGGCTGTTGGTTTGTCATAAATGGCCTTTATTATATTGAGGTAAAGACCACCTATTCCGATTTTCTGTGAAATTCTTATCATGAATGAATGTTGGACCTTATTGAAGGCTTTTTCTGCATCTGTAGAAATGATCATGTGATTCTTACTTTGACTTTATTGACATGGTGGATTACATTTATTGATTTACGAATGTTGAACCATCCCTGCATTCCTAGGATGAATCCCACTTGGTCATGGTGTATAATCTTCTTGATCATTTGCTGTATCCTATTTGCCAATATTTTATTGAGGATTTTTGCATATGTGTTCATTAGGGAGATTGGTCTATCATTCTCTTTTTTAGTTGGGTCTTTCTCAGGTTTTGGTACTAGAGTAATATTTGCTTTCAGGACTGACTTAGGAAGGATTGCTTCCCTTTCAATTTCATTGAATAGTTTGAGGAGTGTCAGCATTATGTCTTCTTTGTATTTCTTGTAGAATTCTGCAGTGAATCCATCTGGGCCTGGGCTCTTCTTTGTAGGTAAGGACTTAATTACATTTTCAATTTCATTAACAGAGATTGGGTTATTCAACAGTTTTACATCCTCTTGATCTAGCTTTGGTACTTCGTATGTTTATAAGAATCTGTCTATTTCTTCTGTGCTATCAAACTTTTGAGAGTAGAGGTTTTCGCAATAGGTGTTGATGATCTTCTGTGTTTCTATTGGTTCTGTAGTGATTTCACCTTTTTCATTTCTTATTGCATGAATTTGAGCTTCTTCTTCCCTTTTTTAAATAAGGTTGGGTAGGGGCTTATCGATTTTATTTATTCTTTGAAAGAACCAAGTCTTTGATTTGTTGATTCTTTGGATTGTTTTCTTAGTCTCTATTGCATTGATTTCTGCTCTGATTTTTATAATTTCCTCTCTTCTTTTGGCTTTGGGCTTGACTTGCTCTTCTTTTTCTAGCTGTTTGAGGTGTAGCATCAAGTTATTTATTTGTATTCGTTCTGTTTTCCTGATGTGGGAACTCAGTGCAATAAATTTTCCTCTGAGGACGGCTTTCATTGCATCCCACAAATTCCGGTAAGTTTTATCTGCATTTTCATTTTCTTCTAGGTATTGTTTAATTTCTTCTTTAATTTCTTCTGTGACCCACTAATTACTCAGGAGTGTGTTATTCAGTTTCCATGTGTTTGCGGGATTTTTGTATCTGTTATCATTAATTTCTAATTTCAGAGTGCTATGATCCGATAACATGCAAGGGATGATTTCAACTCTTTTGAATTTGTTTAAATATGTTGTGTGAGCTAATATATGGTCTATTTTAGAGAATGATCCATGTACTGCTGAGAAGAATGTGTATTCTGATGTTGTTGGGTGGAACATTATGTGTATGTCTATCAAATCCATTTTTTCGCAGGTGTGATTCAGTTCTGTTATTTCTTTGCTCATTTTCTGTCTGGTTGATCTTTCCCTTGGTGTCAGTGGCGTATTAAGGTCTCCTGTTACAATTGTGTTACTGATAATTTGAATTTTCATTTCTGTTAATAGCTGTTTTATATAACTGGTTGCTCTGGAGTTTGATGCATATATATTTAAGACAGTTATCTCTTCCTCTTGGAGTTTTCCCCTAACGTGTATGTAGTGACCTTCTTTGTCCTTTATGGTCATTGTTGGCTTAAAGTTCACGTTGTCTGCAAACAGAATGGCTATTCCTCCCTTTTTTTTGGATTTCTGCTGCATGAAGTATTGTTTTCCATCCTTTGACTTTCAGTCTGTGAGTATCCTTCTTGGATAGATGGGTTTCCTGTAAACAGCATATGGTTGGATTTTGTTTCTTGATCCATTCTGCTGGTCTGTTTCTTTTGATTGGTGCATTGAGACCATTTACATTAATGGTTATTACTGTTAAATGCTGTTTTATTGTTGACATGTTATCTCTCTGCTGTTGCATCTTTATCCTTCTGTTCTGTTTAATTATCTGCTTTGTGTATCTAAACTGTCTTTCAATATTTTTTGCAGGGTTGGTTTGGTGTTCATGAAATTCTTTAGCTGTTCTTTGTCATGGAAGTATCGTATTTCACCATCAATTTTGAATGATAGTTTTTCAGGATACATCATTCTAGGTTGGAAACCATTTTGCTTTAGGATCTGGAATACTTCACTCCATGCTCTTCTTGGCTTTATTTTTTGTGCTGAGAAGTCTGCTGTGATTCTGATAGGTTTTCCTTTATAAGTGATCTGTCTTTTCTCTTTGACAGCTTTTAATAATCTATTCTTGTGCTGGATTTCTGGGATGGTGATTATTATATGTCTGGGTGTAGTTTTATTTTGGTTATGACTATTTGGAGTTCTATATGCTTCACTGATCCTGATGTCGGTTTCTGATCTCATGCTTGGGAAATTTTCAGCTATTACTTCTCTAAATATCCTCTTGACATCCTTTATGTTGTCTCCTTCTTTTTCATTAATCCCTATCATTCTTATGTTATTTTTCTTTGCATCGTCTTGCAGTTGTTGAATTGTTGTTTCCTGATTCCTTGTTATTTTTAAAAGATCTTTCCTTTCCTGTTCACTAGCTGCAATCCTGTCTTCAAGGTCTGAAATTCTATCTTCACTTTCATTAAGGTGGTTTTTACAACTTTCAGTGGAGTTTTTTATTTCTTGTATATCTCTGTGCATCTGCATTATGTATTCTGTTTGGTTCTTATATTGCTCGTCTAGGGATTCTATCTTTTTGTTTAGTTCCTCCAATTTTTTATCTGTGTTTTCTTTAGATATATTCAGAATCTCTTTCATTTCTTTTATCATTTCTTCTTTTACCTGTGAGATTATTTCGAGTTTGAATTTCTTTAAAGCTTCCTGGAGATGCTTGTTAATTTCAGTAGCTATTGTGTCCGATATTTGAGGTGAATGGCATATATTTTCTTCTATATACATTGCTCCTAGGGTTTCTTGAGATGGGCTGGAGGTTTGAGGTTATAATTTGGTCTTTCGTTTTGTCATTTTCCTGTATTTCTGTGTTTCAAGTGTTATTTGAAAGCTTCCTCAGGATCTGTTGGAAATCCCCTTCTATGTTTGCAGCTACTGAGACTCTGACACCACGTTACCCCAAGCCACTGGGCCTGCAGAACCAATGGCCCTCCTCTGCCTGTTCAGAACTCTGCAGTTCCAGATAAGCTGGGCCTCAGGGACACTGTGTGCCCACCTGCCTGTTGGAAGCTCCACAGCTCTCCAATCGCAGCCGGGATGTGGAGGTGGATGTAGATGCCTCAAACCCACCTCTCCACTTCACTGCACCAGGAAGCCTGGAGGGACCCGAACAGTCTGGGCTTTGGGCAGAGTGCCCTGAGCACTCACTACAGGCTGCAGGGCCTCTGGAACCTGCGATGCTCCATCGCCTGCTGAGACATCCACAGTCCTCCAGACGCACAAGGAGGCTGATGCTGGTGCCCCAGATCTGCCCAGCCCCTCCTCTGCACACCTATGGCTAGGTGCAGGAGTCCCAAACAGGCTGGGCTCCGGGGATAGCGTGGGCCCGCCTACCCGTTGGAAGCTCTGCAGTTTTCCAAGTGCAGCCAGGATGGGGAGGCGAATGTAGAGGCCTCAAACCCACTCCTCCACTTCACTGCACCACTTTAGACATTTTTGTATTTCTGTGACTGGCATGTATTCCATATCAGTGAGCTCTAACAAAATATGTCTTCCTTAATCTAATTGTATCATTAGACTTACTCTAATGACTACTACAGTATTTTTCACTAGCATTGTAAATTACCATTCATGAATTTTACTTTGTGTTTAATTACAGTTTTGTCTCTGGAGCCAGTGTCAAGTTTCACAATGCCATCTAAATAGAAACTGAATGAAAAGATCTATTTTCTTAATAATAATTGGAAGATATGTATATATGTATATTTTCAATCTTTTGTCAGGAAAGTTATTAGATATTCATTTGCCCAAATTCTTTTTACCCCATGTTTGATCAAATAAGCCGTCTCCATAAAGCACGCTTTACAGACAGTGTAGAAATAAAACCGAGTTAAATAGCAGGAGAACCAGTATTTCCATTCTGATGTTTCTTTAGCAATACATTGGCATCTAGCATAAAATTCATGTGTGACACATGCGTAGAGATATAAACTAAGTGTTTGATGACCACAACATGAAGTAACCACTTATTGAATAGACTCATTTCAATTTCTTGTAAGCGTATTTGAGGTTTTGTGTTGTAAGTTTTACTATTCTTCCTGAAAATGTATTTCTGATTGCTTAGAAAGTAGTGACCTTTGAGGATGTGGCTGTGAAATTCACCATGGAGGAATGGGCTTTGTTGGATCCATCCCAGAAGACGCTCTACAGAGATGTGATGTGGGAAAACTTTAAGAATGTGACCACTATAGGTAAGGAAGATATTATTTCTCATTTACACCATCAGAGAGCGTGGGTTATTGCTCATCAGTGCAGTTTACTTATTTGGAATATGGAAATATTTTCAAGAATATCCTAGTTATTGTCACATTGGATCAGGAATATAAATAGTAGCTAATAATTTCTATCTAATGTAGTAACTCATCATTACATTTCTTTTTCTACACTTCAGAAAGAAACTGGGATGACCAGCAAATTGAAGATGAGTACAAAAATTACAGGAAAATCCTAAGGTAATATACACTGACAAGCATGTTCCTCAAAAGTTAGAAACATTAAAGCCAAGCAAACTACACGAATAAGGTCATATTTAAAAAATTACATAGTGAGATAGTCATGGTAGCATATGTCTTTAATCCCAGCACTGGGGCATCTCATGAAGGAAGATTGCCAGGAGTTGAAGACAAGTCTGAGCTATATAGTGAGTCTGAGGCTGACTTGAACTATGTAAAGTAAATTTGTGTCAAAAATTAAACAAACAAGAAGCCATGTTCAAAATTCTTTAATGCCATGAAATTTCTCCAAAGGTACATACATGGTTAGTATCTAGAATTTGAATGTGACAGTTAAACATTTGAAGTATCTCAGTATTTGAAATGTAGTACTCTTCTTGCTAGATGGAAATGTATTGCTAAATGTATCACGTTATGTGATAAAAGACATTATATAAAGCATAATAATTTTTTATGCTTAAGTTCATAAAACTGTTGTATGAGATTCTATTTATGCATTAGTTACAAGTACATATAAAAAACTTCTGTGTACTTGTTGCAAGTGCAGGATATCTAGTTACATATACATTTAATTTCAAAAGACTAATTACTTGTCAAACACCTTCCTTAAGTAATGCTATATGGGTTTAAATGTAGTATAAACATTCAGCATTTGTAATATTGGAACTTTGAGGAGCTATTCAAAATCTTAATCAATACCCCTGTTATGATAATAGCTATTTTCAAGCCAACTTCAAAAGCATTTAGTCTCTTTATATTCCAAAATAGATTATTAGGAGGCACCTTCCCAAAATGTTGGTGGGAATGTTATTGTAATGTTGTATCTATAGAAATGTGTTTACAAGTTCCTCAGAAAACTAAAAATAGAAATTCCATTTCATCCTTCTATACCTTTACTGGCTATATTCCCCCAAAGTTAAAGTTAATCATATTACACTGGTACACACATTTCCATCTTTGTAGCAATAAAACTTATAAAAGTGAAGCTCTGCAAACAGCCTAGATGCCCAGTCACAGATGAGTAGAAAGAAAATTGGGATAGTCTGTATAGTACTGAGCATCCTGGGAAGCACATTCATGCTCATCCTGGGCAACTGAATGTTTAACTCAGTTCCATAATATAAGATAAATGAGTGTAGCTCGCTGATAAGGTTCTGGGTTCAGTCTCGAGCACTAGAAATCCTGTGCTTTGTACATGTAGTTTTATTACTTTACATAAAGGTGGTGAAATGATGTCATTTGCCAAAATATAGATTGATCGAAGCCCATGTTACATTAAATAAGATTAAGAACAGAAAGTTCAATATAGTGTGATGTATTTTGTATGAAAAATGCAAAATACGAGGTGAGAAAAAAATACAGGAGACCTGATAGAAAAGAGAGGCAGACATGGGAGTGGGGAAAGAAACTCAGAAAGAAGGAGGGGTAGAGTCAGGAAGAAAGAAAGTATGAGAAATAATGCATACGGTATGCATAGGAACCAACTGTTCAAATTGAGAGTAATCATTATGCATTGCAAACATCATAGCCAAACACCCAAATGGATACTGTTTTGGTAAAAGCTGTTTCCAAGCCATCATCCAGAGTTTACAGTCATCAATGGTCAAATATAGTTTGGAGGCATTAAGTCAGGTCTTCTAAGTAAGCAATTAATATAAATCACTTTTAAGTGGAACTGATTGGTTTATTATATTTTTTACAGAAATGCAGAGGTAGATAAATGCTGTAAATATAAATTATGGTATCAGCGTGAAGAAATGCTTGTTAGGACTCATGATATAAATGTGCACACAAAACTCCTTGGTACAAGACCAGATGAAAGCCTTGAATGTGGAAAGCCTGTGTTTCGTCCCTCATCACCAACCACGCCCATCATACATGACACTGGACTCAAATCATACGAGGTCCATGGATTTGAACAGAAGTTCTCTAATTGTAGCAGACATGGGAATACCTCTGCTGGCTTACAATCCATTCAGAAACTTGCAAAGACAAATCCTGAAGAAAAACCCTATGGATACAAGCAATGTGGAAAATCCTTCTCTGATTACAGTGAAGAAAATAATTCTGAAGAGAAATCCTTTGCATATAACCAAGAGGCGAGAGCCTTCAGTGCACCCAACTATTTTCAAATCAGGACAGGAAATCATAATAGGGTGAACACTTCTATATATGTACAATGTGGCAAAGGTTTGAATTCTTACCATGATGTTCAGAACCATGAAAGAACTCACACTGAATCCAAATCTGATGTACATCAACACCATTGGAAATCCTTAAATAATAACACACCATTAGGCAATCATAAAATAACTCACACTATGGAACAGCCCTATGCATGTAACCAATGTGGCAAAGGTTTCAGCACACAGAATTATTGTCAAAGTCATGAACAAACTCACAATGGGGAGAAATCTTATGTGTGCAAGCATTGTGGGAAAGCTTTCAACAAACAGAGTCTTTGTCAAAGACATGAACGAACTCACCTCGGGAAGAAATCCTATGTTTGTAAGCAGTGTGGGAAAGCTTTTGGCACACAGAGTCATTGTCAGAGACATGAACTGACTCACAGTGGGGAGAAACCTTATGTATGTAAGCAGTGTAAGAAAGCTTTCACCACATATAGTTCTTGTCAAAGACATGAAAGGACCCACACCGGGGAGAAACCCTATGTATGTGACCAGTGTGGGAAGGCTTTTGGCACACACAGTGTATATAAAATTCATGAAAGGATTCACAGTGGGGAGAAACCCTATGTATGTAACCAATGTGGTAAAGCTTTCAGCAGGCACAGTGAATGTAAAATACATGAAAGAATTCACACTGGGGAGAAGCCCTATGTATGTAAGCAATGTGGGAAAGGGTTCAGCACACAGAGTCGTTGTCAAAGACATGAAGAAACTCATAGTGGGGAGAAACCCTACATATGTAAGCAATGTGGGAAAGCTTTTAGGACCTACAGTCATTGTAAAACACATGAAAAGACCCACACTGGGGAGAAACCTTACCTATGTAAGCAATGTGGAAAAGCTTTCAGGACACAGAGTCTTTATAAAATGCATGAACGAACTCACACTGGAGAGAAACCTTATGTGTGCAAGCACTGTGGGAAAGCTTTCAGTACACACAAAAATTGTCAAAGGCATGAAAAGATTCACACCGGGGAGAAGCCCTATGTATGTAAGCAATGTGGGAAAGCTTTCAGTAGGCACAATGAATGTAAAATACATGAAAGAATTCACACTGGGGAGAAGCCCTATGTATGCAAGCAATGTGGGAAAGCTTTCACCACACACAGATACTGTCAAGAACATGAAAGAACTCACACTTGGGAGAAACTGTACTTATGTAAGCAGTGTGGGAAAGCTTTCACCACACACAGCTATTGTCAAAGACATGAACGAACTCACACCAGTGGTAAACCGTGTGTATGTAAGCAATGTGGGAAAGCTTTCAGGACTCAGAGTCTTTATAAAATACATGAACGAACTCACACTGGAGAGAAACCATATGTATGTAAACAATGTGGGAAAGCTTTTAGGACACACAGTCATTGTAAAACACATGAAAGAACCCACACTGGGGAGAAACGATATGTATGTAACCAATGTGGGAAAGCATTCAGTAGGCACAGTGAGTGTAAAATACATGAAAGGACTCACACTGGGGAGAAGCCTTATGCATGTAAACAATGTGGGAAAGCTTTTAGCAGGCACAGTCGATGTCAAAGACATGAAAGGAATCACGCAGTGTAGAAACCTTGTGTGTGCACTGACATGAAAATACGGTGCAGAGAAGCCTTTGTATGCAATATTTTTAAAAAATCTTTCCTGGTACAGTGGTTCACACCTGTAATCCCAATACTTAGGGGTCTGAGGCAGGAGAATAACTGAGTTCAAGGCCACTCTTGGCTATATACGGAGTTCAAGGCCAGCATGACCTACATATCAAGACCGTGTCTCAAAAAACAAAGAAAAAACCCCTCAGTACAGAGGCATATTTGAAAAAAAATAGGATAGAGAATCTGAACATATGTGAACAATGTGAAAAATTTTTATTTTTCTCAATGCATTCAAGTTCATGAAGGAATTCACATGAGAGGGAAGCCATTAAATATGGAAAACCCATCTTTTCACTTGAAAATAATGAAAGAATCCTCACTGAAGAAAAAACCTTTGTAAATAATGTGTGAAAACTTTGATTTTCATAAGATCAGAAAAATGTACAAACTGTAAATGAGATTTAGAGTAAATCCTGAATGTGAGAAAGCTAGGAATCAGTGACAGAGAGAGGTATGTTAGTGAGAAACACTTATTTCAAAGCACACATCCAGAGACAGTCTTCCTCCAAAATATTAATGGGTTAATGTATTGGTGAGGTTGAAAATTGTATAATAATCTTGAATTCAATATAAACAGCACATTGCATCCAAGTCTTCAGTACATGGCCTTCAAGGGACATTTTACATGCAAACCACTGACTTAGTTGAATGGGAAAGTAAATTCATAAATAAAATGAAATTTTATTGAGTCTTAAAAAATGCTTCATTTCTGACTGTAGTTTGACCAAGAGGCCATTACATGAAATATGCCACACGTAGGCTAAGTAAATCTTCACTGTATTTGTTTTTAGTAACAATGAAGAACTTTAAAGAAGCAGAAAGTAGTGATGATTGCCATGTATGTAGGTGGAAAAGTTGAGTGATGCTAGTGAGAAAATAGTGTTTCTCTTGTAGAGTACAATTGGCATATGTCCCATCGTGACTACAGTGATTGACACAGTGACACATAGCATTAATTTGCAAGAAGTTGTTTTTAGCGTTTTCTTCACATACCCAAAGGTAATTGTCTTAGGTGACACAAAGGCTACCAATGAAGAATGTGGTAATTTCACAATATAAACAATAACACATTGCATTGTATGCTTTTGACATTTTAATTTTTTGTTTAATGAATACAATTAAATTTAGCAAAAATGACTGGTTTCATGTGTGTCCAAAGAAATTTTCCTTTTTTCACTTTTTATAAATGTTATTTAGTTTGTACTGTATTTTTTCTGAAAATCAGTATTGGGGGCTGGGGATTTAGCTCAGCGGCATAAGCGCTTGCCTTGCAAGCACGTGGTCGTGAGTTCCATCCCCAGTACCAATTTAAAAAAAAAAAAAAAAGAATTAGTATTAGTTGGTCCAAAAAAGAAAATAATTAGTATTAGTTGGTACACTGTAAAACTGAATGTATTCTCCATTTTAGGGAAACATACTTGATTCATTGTAAATTTAAAATAGCTGTTTCAGGATAAAATTTTGAAAATATTGTCATTATCACCAGTTCATTTCACTGCATTTTGGCATGTACATGTTCAGAAAACTCAACATTTTAAAAGCACTTAAGCTTGCTTTTCTGATTCAATAATACACTTAACATGTTTTCAAAGTGTATCCATTTTCTTATCAATGCCTGGAATTTATCTGTAATAACCATATCATGTTCCATTATATATAAATGTCATATTTTCTTCATGCACCTGTTAATGGACATATAGGAGAACACAGAGAGGTAGTTCTGTGACAAATAGGATGAAATCAGGGGGCCAGAATGAGAAGAAGGGGATGTAAAAGAATTAAATGTCTTACATCAACCACCCACAAATGCTATCTTTATATGTCACAAACCAAGTAATGATAATATTAATAATGATGAAAGAGGGTGCAAAAATCTGGGGTTGGTGGGAGGGTGGTGGGTGAGGAGGAGAAGGGAAATCGTAAGAATGTTAAATATATATGCCAATTTCCTAAGATGAGAGGAACAATGTACTTAATGTATTAATTTAAAAGCTTAATATTTAAATACTTAAAGTATTTACAGATATTTCTTTATTGTACTTCCTCAAGATTTATTAGCAGATGTGTTGAAAATATGTAAAGACCCCAATTTCCCAAATGAGTGTACAGCAAAGGCTTAAATAAATGAGACAAGTGGTATGATTTAGGGCTCCAGGAGGATCGAGCCCTCTAATAGAGTTTGAGGTTCTGGGGACTAAGACAAGGCATAGCTCTGGGTGGCCTGTATTTATTTAGTTTTCTAACTAGGAAGGGGTTGGAGTGAAAATGCAAGAAACTGAGCAGTATTTTGGGAGTGGTTCAAGAATTTTTCAGGTGACTGATTATGTTAATTTAGAACTGTCTTATGTTACTTTAGGAGAAGTATCTTCAGAGAAAGTCTCTAGGTTGACTTTCACTACAGGAGTCAAATACCTGCAGCCACAATCTCAGTCTTGTTAACTGGGGTTGGGGCCAGGTGTCCTCTGCTGTGCCTTATCTTGCCCTTTGAGGCACCTCTTTGTTCTCGGGTCAGCCATGCCCTAGCCATGCCACAGCCCTTCATGTGTGTTCAATTTCCAGCTTCAATGGCTCTCCACAGGAACAATCCACATGTTGCAGGATTCTTTAGTTTAGAATTCCACATAAGCATTTTTCTGTGTCAGACTCCCAACAGAGTTTATTGCAGGAATCCATTGCATGCACCTCCATTGATTTGTCACAGCAACGATTGTATGATTTTGTGAGGGAGAGGAAGTAGGAATACACATGCATAAAGACATGGACACCTATTAAGTTGCATTAGCAAATGCAAATATGTATGTTTTTGGTTATCTGGATCCTGGCATGGCTGTTGGTAAACAATGCCATTCACCAAGATATATTTACGAGTCTGGTCTTAGTGCATTGTAGCTGACCATTCCAAAATTCCATAGGATTCTTCACTTAATGAACTAATTATTTCTTAGAGATGTGAGACAGAAAATCCAGCAGCAAGGCACTGGGAACTTACATATCTAATGAGGCATGGTTTACACATGATGAGATGCCAGTTCTTGATTCTTTGTAATATTTCCTTTTCAGTTGGCAGTTTGTTAATAAATCCTCTGCCTACACCTGTCTTTAAGAGTTTTGTCTATTTTACCTCACATCAGATTTAGTTTCTGTTTTGATATTTAGATCTTTGATCCACTTTAATTTTAGTTAAGTGTATGGTAAGAGATATAGGTCTAGGTTTTAATCTTTAGCATGTGGAAATCCAGTTTGTCCAGCACCACTTATTCACAAAGCCATGTTTCTTGTAATGAATCTGTTTGGCCCCTTTATCAAAGATAAGGCAGATGAATGTTCTTAAAACTTTCTGCATTTTTATTCTATTCCATTGTTCCTCATGTCTTTTCTTTCCCCAATACTATGCTGTTTTTATTATGGTAGCTTTATAGTATAATCTAAAGGGATTGTGATGTTCCTGCCTTGTTTTTGTTGCCCAGAATTGCTTGTGGTATTCTAGATCTCTTCATATAGAATTTAGGATTGTTTTCTGTAGTCCTGTGATGTACACTGTTGATATTTTCATTTGGATCACATTAAATCTGTACAACAATTTTGGATATATGGCCATTTTCAATATATTGGTTCTGCCTATGCAAAAGCCTGGAATATTTTCTATTTTCTGACATCTTCTTTCATCCTCTTTTCCAGTCCATAGATGGTCCACTTTGTTTGATTTTGAAACATTTCATTTTTCTTGATGTTATTGTGAAAGGAGTGATTTTCTCAATTTCACTCTCTAGACTTTTTATTCATATATTGGAATTGTATTTTTTTCTTCATTTTTGACTGTATCCTGCTATGCTGCTGAATTTAGTTAATAATTCTAGAAATCATTTGGTGGAGTTTTGTGCCCTTTGTACCGAGAGTGTTATGTGATCAGCAAATAATGATAATTTAACATCTTTTTGTACACACAGTCCCTTTGTTTCCCTTGGGTAATTGCTCTAATCTTTCCAGAACTGTATTGAACAGAGGGAGTGATAGTGGAAATTCTTATCTTGTTTCTGACTTTAGAGTGAAAGCTTTATTTTATTTATTTATTTAATATGACCTTAGCAGTTGGTTTTTCATAGATGACTTTTATCACGTTGAAATGAACACTTTCTATTTCAATTTTCTGTTGGTTTTTGTCATAAATGTGTGCTAGATGGTGTGAAGTTCTTATACTGCATCTATAGATGATCATGTGATTTTTGTCCTTAGTTCTGTTGATGTAATATATATATATATATATTGATTTGCATGTGTTGAACCATCCCTGGGATTCATCCTACATAATCATGGTGTATAAACTTATTTACTCTGATTTACTGCATTCTGTTTCTGAACACACCATTGAGAATTTTGGGGTCTACATTCAATAGGGATATTGGTCTTTAGTTGTTTTGGTTGCATATTTCTCTGGTTTTGGTACCAGAGTAATGCTTCCTTCCAGGAGAGAGTTCAGGAGTACTGATTCCCTTTCAATTTCATTAAAGAGTTTGAGGACTAGTGACACTAGATGTTCTCCATATTTCTCATAGATTTCAGCAGAAAGCCCATCAAAACCTAAAAATGTTTGCTCTTTTTAGTGTTGGTAGTTTTGTTACTTCTTCAATTTTATTGATTAGCATTGAATTATTTAAAATTTTTATATCTTCTTGATGCAGCTTTGGTAATTCATTTGTGCCTAGAAATCTGTACATTTCTCCTGAATTTTTTGTATTATTAGAATTTAGGTTGTCCTTTCAATCCAGGGGAACTGTGCTGCTGGAGGAGGAAAATGGGCTCCTGGTGGGAGTGAGTTCCTGCTCACCATCCCGAGCTCCAGAAGAGTTTAAGATCATTGCCCCTGGTGCTCAAGGATGCACCCAGTTTCCAGCCACACTAGACAAGGCTTGGGAGGTTTTTCAGTCCGACTAGATTACACCCACTGACCTTCAATCAGGGGAGTTGAGAGCATGTGAAGTGAGTTCCAGTGCATTGGTCCTTGCCCAGGGAGAGCTCTAGACCATCATCCACAGTGGTTAGGTGCTTGCCCAGCTTCCTGGAACACTGGAGGTGACACAGGAGGTCCTGTGGGCCTGACTGGACCATGCTCAGCAACCTCCATTCAGTCCCAGGAGCCTAGGGCATAGGAGACAATTTCCAACAGGCCCAGGGGAAGCCTTGGAACAACACTTGAAACATGGAAATATAGGAAAATGACAAAATGAAAGACCAAAATGCAATCTCAAGCCTCCAGCCCATCCTAAGAAACCCGAGGAGCCATGTACATGGAATAAAATATATGCCATACACCTGAAATACCTGAAATAATAGCAACTGAAATAAAGAAGCAACTCCAGGAAGCTTAAAGGAATTCAAACTAGAAATAATAATCTAGGTAAAAGAAGAAATGATAAAAGTAATGAAAGAGATGCAGAACACATCTAAAGAAGACACAGTTAAAAAAATTAGAGGAACAAAACAAAAAAATATAATCCCTGGATGAACAATATAAGAAACAAACAGAATACATGCAGCAGATTCAAAGACATATACAGGAAATCAAAAATTCCATTGAAAGTTGGCAAAACCGCCTCAACAAAAGTGAAGATAGAATTTCAGACTTGAAAGACAAGATTGCAGCTAGTGAACAGGACAGGAAAGATCTTTTTAAAATAACAAGGAATCAGGAAATAATATTTCAACAGCTGCAAGATGATGCAAAGAAAAACAATGTAAGATTGATAAGGATAAGTGAAAAAGAAGGGGATGACACAAATGATATCAAGAGGCTATTTATAGAAGTAATAGCTGAAAATTTCCCAAACATGAGAATGGAAACTGACATATGAATCAGTGAAGCATACAGAACCCCAAATAGCCATAACCAAAATAAAGCTACACCCAGACATATAATAATCACCATCTCAGAAATCAAATATAAGAATAGAATATAGAGTACAGGTTCTCTAGATGTTGATGGTTTTCTAGATTTTTTTTAAGATCTGTTATGATTTCACCCTTTACCTTCTTACTGTTATGGAGTTGAATTTTATCTTTCCTTTTTTGGTGACATTGGCTAGGGGTTTGTCTATTTTATGTAATCTTTCAAAGAAACAATTCTTCCATTCATCTATT